GAAGGGAGGCCTCGGCCAGACTCCTACCACGCCTGGCGTGCTCCAGGGCCAGGTCCCAGAGCTCCAGATCTAGTGCAGCACCCGATGCATTCCCATGCACCGTGTGCATCTCTGGGTGGGTCAGGTTGCCGGCACGGGCCTTGGCAAAGAGTGCCAGCCAGATCCCCAGGGCGCGTGGGGTGTCTCCAGCTTTGCGCGCCGCAGCAGCTCGAGAATTGATATCCTGCAGCTTCAATGACATGATCAGCGGATCCGCAGCAGCCTGAGCTTGGGCAGCAAGGATCGCCCGGCGTACCTGGGGCGGGGAGCATGTCGAAGATGGTGTGACCGGGGTTGACTTCTCCCAAGGAAGTCAGAACTCTCATCGAATAAGGGCATGCAGATTTCGAATGCTGCAATGTATCCCGGTGCATGTTACATTCCCTCGACTCGCACCAATTCCTGCTCCTCGTTTTCAAAAGTGGGCTCGCCATCACCGGCCCAGCCCGACTCAGCCTTGACAGCAACATCACGGCTGTGCTCGGGATGGGGCATGTTGGAGGGTATTTGCACTCCCATTTGGGTGAACCACGCGATCAGGAAGGCAAACAGTTGCTCCGGGTGCGAGGTTCAGCAGCCCTTGGTCACTAGTTTGACTTGGAGAGAACCCATTGTCGTGTCTCAATCAGATGATCACATCCAACTTGGGTGCATCACTGCAATTGCATTGCATCCGTGGTGGCATAAGCGGGTCTAGCGTGCCAGGGTATCCATGAGATGCACCGAATTGCAGCCATGCCCCCCGCGTTGACTTGCCTGACGTGGCAGTGGAGCAAGCCACCACCTCGGACCCCTGTTCTTCCACCCCCTTCCAGTGCGGGACCACAAACCTGCTGTCCAAGGCTCTCACCCCAAACAAAGACTTTAATGATCCTGTCTGGCAATGCACACCACATTGCATCCCATGTGGAGTGCTGGGGTTTTACAAGGCCTTTACTTGGGCCTGATCGTGCAGTGGGTCTATGTTCATTAGGAGTACGGGGGAAGAGTCGAGAATGACCACGAGCCACCTCATCGGCGCAAACAGCACTGCACGCACACATCAATAAGCGCAACTTGAACTGGACCACCCAAATCATCTGATAAGTGCTTGTAAGCAGAGATCAGAGGGATGAGCGTCCCTCATCGTGAGGGGTCCTCTATGTCAGGGAACTCGTGAAAGTATAACTCCGAGTATCGCTTGATGGCCTGGAACCAGTAACATGAGAGGCCCTGCGATGTGGGAGAGCAGGCAGTTGCTCGACGAAATGATGATACAGACTGGCGCTGAGAAGCTGACAATCTCTCAAGCCCTGGTGGATGTCAAAATCTTGGTCCCTCCAAGTGCAACATGACCCACACCCCTGCGACGCACGCCACCCGGACACCAACCCCACACCTCCTCTTGCAGATTCTTGAGGATCCATTCTTTCCCCGCCTTTGCGACTGCAGGAGCTTCTGCCTTGCCTTCACTCTCCTGCACTGCCTTCTTCAGGATGGGCCCTGCACAAGGCAGGTGGGTCACCAGGAGGGTGGTGGAGTAGGGCAGAGTGAAATTACTCGATGTCTTGCAGCGCCCACGGCTGGAGCTTGGTCATGCCTTGCACTGTGCAGTTTAGTGCCTGGAGCTTCTGGATCAATCCCTGCATGGACAGGCCTTGTCCAGAGACCATGAGCTGATCGCATTGTCCCCTCCGTCTTTCCCCCCCCTCCTCGTTTCGGTCCCCAGCGTCAGGCCCCTCACCCATCTCCTTGATGTACTTTTCCGCGTCGCCGCCCTCGTGCTCGTAGGGGGGCAGGGCCACGTAGTGGACCCCCGGCAGCAGTCCCGGCTCGTAAAACTCCACCCACTTGGACTGCACCTTGAACACCAGCGATTCACACGCCAGCCGGTACTTGAGCGCTGGCACGGGGGGGAACGGGGGATGGTGTGTTGGGGCTTGGGATTCAGGGTAAGAGAGGATCAGAAGGGAAGAGGAGGGGGCTCGACATGGCCCAGGCTCACTCGCACGGTGCAGGATGCAGGGTGTGACATGGGAGACAGCCGAGTGGCGGTGTGGCGAGTGTACTCCCCTGCGCACCGCGCCCTCCACAACCAAACTCACACCCGCCGGCTCCCCACCTGCAGAGTAGCTGAAGCCCGCCGTGTGCAGGAGATACTTGTTGTTGCACCAGGCGTCCACCCACTGAAACTGGTTGCCGGATGTCGCCACGAACTTTGTGTCCCCCACGTCCACTGCCACGCCCAGAGTCTCCAGGTCAGTCTTGTTCCCTGCCAGCGCTGCCAGGGCCGGCATGAGGCTGCGCCGTGGCCCCACGCCCCAGTGCCCCCTGCGTGCAGGGAAAGGGGGACCATCGATCTTGAGTTCGCCTCCTCGCCCGCCCCAGCCCAAGCACCACGCCACCACACACACACGCACACACCTGCTGAACAGCGTGTTGGTCCGCGCTTTCCAGCCCACCATGCCGGCACGTTGATCCAGCAGCCCGCTCATGTTGTACCAGGAGGAGTTGGTGTATCGCGTCTCCGGGTAACACTTGAAGGTGAAGTCCGGGACGGGGATGTCCTTGCAGCCCTCCTCTGCGGCGGGGCGTGGCAGGGGATGGGGAGTGAGGCAAGGCCATTTGACCCCAGGAGGCTGGACTCACATGCGCCACGCACAGCCCCTACTGGCGGGACGGTGCCACCGGGAGGCACGCTGCCGCGCCAGGCGAGCCCTTGCGCTCTGCGACGGCGCCTCCCGTCCCCCACCCACGCCGGGGCACGCTCCAGCCCACCCGGGTCGCCCCTGGGGCGCGGCCGGCCCCCCGTGACCGACGCGAGGCACACATGCACTCACAGAGGGCATGGCACGGCAGGGTGCCGCCTGGGCCCCCACCCACCCTCCCCCCCTTGCCGGGCACGCACCCCAGACCATGGAGAAGGCCGGCAGCCTGATGTTCCGGCCAGTGATGGGGAAGTCCTCGGTCTCCACCACCAGGCGAAGGTCCCGCGTCCCGAGCAGGTCCTGCAGCGCGGTGTTGTGGCGCTGCGGGGAGGAAAGAGCGGAGTGTGGGTGGATGAACCCAGCGCGCAGCCCAGCCCATGCCCTCGCAGGAGACAAGCACACCCACCCCCACCCGGCCCACGCGCTCCAGCGCTGGCCTCCCTGCCTGCGCCAAACCGTCGGCCCAGTCTGACCTCCACTGCATCCTCCAGCACTGCCAGGATGCAGGGCCGCTTGTGCTCGGCATTCGGCCTCGACGTCTGTGGTGGGAGGGCGAGATAGAGGCGTGAGCCTGGCAAGGTGCATGGCTGGACTGAAACGATCGTCCTGCAGGAGGGTACCAGCTTTCGTCATTCCCTGCACGTCCTCTTCACAAGCCCATACACCCTCCCCCCCCCCCCTACCCCCAACAAAAAAAAGCATTACCCCAGGTCCCATGCCTCACATTCACGATCCTCATCTCCACTCTGTCCAGAGTGTCGTTGTACCTCAGGGACACCTCGTCGTGCCCGGGGTGCCAGGTGCCCCACAAGATGTTGTGCATGGCCTCTATGGACTCGGCCGAGCTCTGTCTCAGGCTCCCTGTCATGGCCCTGGGTGCCGCAAAGAACTTCTCCAGAGCTGCGTCCACCCAGGGAAACGTCTGGAGGCACGCATCGCCGACCAGGCTAGGGGGGGCCTGTGGGGAGTGGCCGTCGGAGTCTGTCAGCGTAGGAGGTCATAGCTGCTGCTGTGTCCGGCCGGCTGGTGCCCCACCCGGGATCTGCGCCCTTCGATGCCACCTGCACCGAAGGCTCGAGGAGCGAAGGACCTTCGACATGGCCTAATGATGCCCTAATGTACTCCTTGCTCCTAGAATCCCTCAGGGGAAGCGCCAACGAGGCAATCAAGAGTATGGCCAAGCCCACCACCACGGCGATTTTCACGGGCCCACACGTCATTACGGAGGAGGACTCCGCCCATACACTTCTCCTCGCTCATTAGCAGTCGGCAGTAACAGATGACCGAACTAGGTGGGCCTGCCACCTAGTGCGGATCGCTGAACTGTCCCAGAATCACGGTCGTCGATGCTGGGTCCCCGAAGTACGAGCCCCCCGGTCGTCCCGGCGGGAGCTTCATCCGAGCCCTTCGATCGACAGCCATGCACAATACTTCGGGACACCCATATCAAGTTACTTTCAAGCTCATGAAGGTATATGGAGCATCTGGTTGGGGTATTTTGGTTGTGGGGTACGGTGCCGAGCCGCGTGCGGGCTGCTCCGGTACATGGGGTCCTCCTTACAAAACAGATGAGGATTCACTGGTGCACCGCCCTGGTGCTGGCCACACGCATCCAGGGCCAGTCTCAAGCATCGTCTTGCGCTGCAACCTCGGCTTTCTCCGCCTCCTCCCCTCGCGGATCAAAGTAGATCTCCGCATACCGCTTGATAGCCGCATACCAATAACAGGACAAGCCCTGTGGGTGGTGGTTGGGGGGGGGGATGAATGCCACAATCCTAGGTCATGTCGATCAAGAGACCCCTCCGTAAGCTTTCCGTCCCCTGGCGTGGGGGGGGGGGG